CTTCAGGAGATTTCAATGATCATTTTATTCTCTCCCCTATTGCAGTCTGTACATAATAAACCCAAAAGCCAAGATACCTATTGAAAACAAAAAGGAACATGCTTTGGTTTAGAGGTTAAATGTTTAGCCTGCAAAAATATATTCCACTACTATAATAAAAAACGTAACTGAAGATCTGCTGTGCTTAGAGAATATGTATTACAGTGTTGTGGGGATTTTTTAGTACTTTTTTTCCTTGTGTATTGTAGCAGGACAAGTGCTTCTCCTCCTGAAGGATATGAGCTGCAGATCCTTCCAAGATATTTTGAGGAAACAGGTCTGCAAGTCTTTTTTGAAAACAAGCTGGTGCCTTGCTCACTGCTGCTTGTAATATTGTGAGGTTTGTAAGGGATAACAGGCATTCAGCATTAACATTATGTGTTGAATCCTGTTAAAATGGTTTTGGAAAAGAATGCTGACAGTTAGTACTAAACTTTTCTTTGTCGCACAAGTCTGATGTAGGGCCTCAAAGCTAAGCACAAGTTAGCCATGTATTTATTTCTTTTAAAAGTCATTATTAATACAAACATTAGGAAATACTGTGTATACAGAGAGAACTAGGGTAAGAAAAATAAATTCCTTAAGATCTATAAAGATATTTTTAAAGTCCTTCCTTTCACCCCAGGAATTATAAGGCAAAAGATGTCCGAAGGGAAATTAAATTGCAGGGAAGCTACCAATTAAAATTGAAAGAACTAATAGGTATTCAATTCTGCATTTCTACTTAAATAGATGCTTACTGTGTACATCTTCTGAATATGTTTCTGCTGGAGGGCTTAATATGCTCAGTTATTTAATGTGAATCTCTTCAGTAGGCAAAGAACGCTCACTCCAGAATCTTCTTTAAAAATATCACTGTTTTTTTTAAAGTGGAAGTAATTTCAGAATAAAAATTACCTGGTCTTCCATTTCTATTACATAGAGAAAAATGTTTTGATCTGATTATTATTTCATTTTATTATTTGGAGGGTTCAGTGTATGTGAATTATAGAGATATGCTACATAATAGTTAGAGGAAGTTCAGCATCTTTTTAATAGCTGCTCAGGGAATCAACTTTTAGTTGTTAGAATATTTGGCCATAGCTTTGCAAAAGCCTAACTATTCCCATCTTGTGATGTCCTGACTTGATATCTTCTATAATCCATAGTTATGGATAAAACACATATTTCTTTGGAAGATTCCTTTATCACTTAAGCAGCAAAAAGCAACACTTTTATATTAGTAACTATTTAGATTTATAGGTTTTACATGCTGAGACTCAGAACCATAAATCTCTGTATAGCTAAAAAAGTACCATATTTGTTTCCTCAAAATGAAATAATTTTTATATGCTTTCACCAGCGGAACTCTCTTTTTAGCCATTAAACAAATGACTGAAGAAGCATTTTACTCTGCCCCTGCTGTGCAAATGGTTATTATGCCCCTATGTTCAAGTGTGAGAGGCAAACCAGGTGCCTAAAGAAATCATCCTCCAAGTCCAACAGAGGTACTGAGAGCTCTGCAAACAGAATATACAGCTCCGTTAGACCAATGTAGATTAGCACAGCTTTGGACACTGCCAGTTTGCTTGGCCCTTCTTTCACTTTAGAGAGGTATTGGGTGGATTTGTTTTCCTGGGACTGAACAGTAGTTGCTGATAGAAAGTCAGAAAATCACCACGGCCGTTTGTATGAACTCCAGGCGTAACTTCTTGCTCCCCACCTCCCTCATCTCCTTTGGAGAGTGAGGGGACAAAGGTTGTTTTGGAGGTTTTTTATGGCTGTCTAAGGATCAGCAATACTGTCACATGATGCACATGGTGCTGATATAGACTATTATGCACGGTTCTGGAAACACTTTGTTTCCAGATCTGGAACATGGATGCAGACAAAAACTACAAAACTTTAAATCTGGAATCTTTGATTTTGGAGAGAGGCAATATACGGATTTGCTTCCTTACCTTAGAATCAGGTATGAATACACTCATGTCCTTGCATTTAAGTCCTCTCATTAAAGTTATTGCGATTATTCACACGATTGGTTAAGCACGGATCTGCCAGACTGTAGCCTCAGACAGAAAGCTCTGGGACAGGGCCTGAGACCATGCTACTGAGCTTTGAAGCCAACGGAGACTCTGGGCATGCAGAAGTTCCCTGTGGATTAGATGTGCTATGCACATGCTTTTAGAAGGTAGCTGAGAAGGAAAACAGGGTAGTAACAGAGAAACAGCTGATGCGCTAAGTAGCCTGGTTTTGCATGCATTTCCATACAGCGGCAGGTAATAGGTATATTAGGACACAGCCTGTATTCAGAATATCCAAAGCTAGCACTTGGAAAATTTGGAAACTCAAAAGAAATTCATGAAGCTTGTGAGAATCATTCTCAGTTACTAGCTCTTACCAGGGGAAATTACATTTGCCTTTGGTAAGCAGACCTCATTAATCACACTGTTTCAAAGGCTTGGTTATTAAACTTCCCTTTGCTTTATAAAATAATTGCGAGGGTCATACTGTAATGTATCAACTGGAGGAAAAAGGCCATTCCTTTTTTTGGGGGAGCAGATCTTTTTGGTTTGGTACAAGGTGCAAGTAGCGAGGCATGTGGTGTGGCCTCAAATAGTCCCAGTGAAATTAGATTCGTGCCCAAGTGTTTGCAAAATCAGGACCTAATGCCTGTGTTCTGCAATTATAGTGGATGCTTAATAGCACTTGTTCTGTCAAGCTGCCCCCATTTGCAGCTCTGTGGAGACTATAGGAGAGTGGCAAAAGTATCTAAATAACATGCACGCAGTAACTTTGCTGCAAAGCCCAGATGCAAAAAAAAAAAAAAAAAAAAAAAAAAAAGAACCTGGAAACTTAATTGCAAATCTTTCTGAGCTCTCGGTTGCCTGAATATTATATTCTCTACTGAGAACAAATGTGCACTGAAGACAGAAGGGCCTTACAGTACAGGCAGATATCCTTACCTTTGTACGAATTATAATTTCAAAATATCTGAAGGGCTTTTGTGCTGTGGGAGGGAGAGGATTTTCTTCTTAAGTTCTCTTTTTGTGAAATCCTGTTCCACCCTCCCCTAAAGATCATGGTGAGGATGGGGCAACTTTATCAAAGCAGCTGTCAAAAGACCAGGAGGTGGGTTTTTTTTTTTCTTTTTTAAATATTGCTTTGAGTCTGAATAAAATGTCTCTGTTTCTTTAAGTAATAGGATCTTTTTGATCTATATCCTTTGGATAAGAGAAATTTCAGGTTCTCCTCTTTAGCCCAAGAGGCGGTAGGGGGAGTCATCGTCTTCTGGTAACTTGGTTTCAGTCTCCCACTTTGTTGTCTTCCACAAGTAAAATCAGGTCAGTCTCAGAGCTCATAGCGTGAGCTACTTAGATAATGAGAAGTTAGCACTTGGGGGGCTTTGGAAGCCTTTATTTCACAAGAGCCAGCTGAAATCAAGAGCCTCTTGTTCCATGGGATAGTCCATGATTCACAGGCACAGTTCTGAAAAACTCAAAGACCTTTCTAGGAATGAGCAGTATCTTGCAATGAGAAGAAGGAAGAAATCAGGCACCAATTTGTGCTCTCTGTGTACCTTTGCACAAGTCAGTGGTGCCTGCTGCGTGACACTGATATGACACCCAGGTAACAGGGCACTGTTTAGTCTTGTGCTCTTCATATAATCAGAACTCAGTGCTTTTAAATTAGAAGTGATAAATCAAAGGAAGGAGTGCATTTTTCAATAATCATCACAACAATGACGTACAAGAGACACGGGTTACTGCAGATCTGATTTTGTTTAAAAAGCCCAGGCCTTTCTTGCCATCCTTCAGTTTTGGAGAGGATGGTGTTGCACGAGCTTCGTTAAAAGGTAGAGAAACAATTGTGAACAAGTGCTTCCCCACCGTTACCCAACAAGAGTCAGGATAAGTCCCAGAAAACCTGACAAGGGTCTGATTCCCCACATTCCTGGCTCTAACCCTGGGAAAGTAGTTAAAGTGGCAGTACTGCTACAATAACACGTAGTCAGTTATGCACGACCAGAATGGTGGCACTCTTAAACTAATTCCCTAGGAGCAGAGCAGGGGAAACCAGCTCTTATGTCATGAGAGACAGTGCCACTAGCCCATTTTTATAGGCCGTCAGTTCTTGAATCTGCCAACGTTGCATCCCAAAGAGCAGCCTAAAGCCTGCCTCTAAGACTAGAGTTGCCTCCGTACACATGGCCAGCCGGCGTGTCCAACTGAACGTGCGGTCAGAGGCCATGCAGGAGCACACCTTGCATGCCAGAGCACACCCTGCATGCCAGATGGTGTAATGTGCTGTCAGGTGGCCTTTGTAGCCGCTGTTATCCCTCTGCAGGCTGTCCACAGGCTGGAAGTTAGAACGTGTGTGTATTGTAAAAGACACAGCCCACTGCAGGAACTTGTAAAAGATCACCCAGGATATCTGGGGCAAAGTGGATTTCTGACTATCTTAGTCCAAACTTGTTCCCTAACAATTACACAATTACATGGTATTTCTTTGATCTAAATGTTGACAGTATTTGTCCGATGGTGTCATAGAATTTCAGTATCTGTGGAAAAGCTTTCAGAAAACAGTTTTGTGGGTAAAACAGCAAGACTTAAGACATTGTTTTTATGTGATCAGCAAGATCATTAGTGAGTTCCTCAGGATGGAGATTTCACTATTGCTAGGTGCAAGGTACATTTTGTTTATGCGGTGCAGGGTTGTTCCTCGGGTGTTCGGTTGCTCTGACACTTGGTAAGAGTCCATGAAATAGCAATTAGGGCATGACAGATATCTTAACAGCCCTGAATCAGAACTGGGAGTTTGGATCCAGGATTGAAGACAGGAAATTTGTCTTTCCTGCCTACTGCACTTGGAACAGTTCTTGGCACAGTCATTAGAGATTAAAGTAAAGCTGAATCTAGCTGGTACTGATGAATTTATAGCAAAATATATTAACTATAGGGACTTTTTTTTTGGTCTCTTAGGAAGCAGAGATCCTGAATACAGCTATTCTCACTGGGAAAACAGTAGCTGTCCCTGTCAAAGTGATCTCTGTGGAAGATGATGGGACTGTGACTGATCTTCTGGAATCTGTGGAGTGCAGATCGTCAGATGAAGATGTCATTAAGGTAGGACTGTGCTGCTCCGTTACACAAAGGCAAAGGCCCTGCAAAACAGTGGTGTTCTCTAATGTGACAAGTTCTTTCATCTTCCTGACTGTTCTGCTGCTGGAAGACAAAGGTTTATTATCACTGTTATGTATAGATTGGTTCAGTGGAGCCATAAAACAAACACAAAATCGCACATTTTCCATCCCACATGTCAAATACTTGGAACTGTCTGTCACTTCCCACTTCTGAAGTGTTTTTGGAGTTCACTCTACCTTTGCCTTTTACTTTTCAGCTATATGGGCTATGTATGTTCAGGAATGTTGCCAGCTGATGTTCTAGAGGAGGTGGTGATTCCTCCAAATTTGATTTGCCACATTGGAAAAGGAGCTGTATTGCAAACAACATTAGCTTTAAATTTGGAATTTTCTTTGATCACAATTGCTACTAGGGTGTCTCACAGGAAACATGTCAGCTGCCAATCATGGAGTGGTAACTACTGGATAAGACACTTGACCAGTGAATTTACTCTGTGCAACAGCTCTATAGCCTAAACTTCCTTGAAAGATGACTGGCAGGCAACAAAACACTGCTACTTTTAGTTTTGACTCACAGCGTGTACTTTCCTTGCTAGTGGTGAGGAGAGAGCAGCGGAAGTGCCTTTAAGTGCCTTTTTATTACTGAAATCTTAGGGTCAGACTGGTCCCTCAAGAAAACTGCTGCTTCTTGAAGGCTTTCAGCTTGTGCCAATATTACTACTAAAAGCTGATAAGAAGTTCTGCATATTGATACTCAGCTTGGTTAATGGATAACACACGTTAATGGTAGTGGAAGGACGTGGCCAGCAGTGGTGATTGTGGGAGATATGGTAGAAAGTACTTTAGCGTGGTGGCACATGGTGTTAGCTTGTCTACAGCAGCTTTTATTTTTTCACAAAATCATCTGTGTCTGTCAGTTGAGAAGAGGGAATGAGAGACATGGCTACAAATAAAATTTAAAATTAATAGGTTTTTTTTTTACATAACCAGCATGTCACAAAATGATTACAAATACTACAGGCCACCCCTCCAGCTGCTGGAAATCACTGTTATCCCATTAACTTTTGTGAACTGCACCACACTGAGGACTTGGCCTTTGTGAAATTTGCCTTAGCCTAAAGCTGACTGGATTGCTAAGCTTTCTCCCTGTTGTGTTAGCTCATTTTAATTTGGATTCAAACAGCTGAGGGTAGTGTTTAGCTCCTAAGCAAGCCTCCCTGGGCCCTATTAGCTGAAAAAGACCCTTCCTAGTGGACATTTTTTATGTTTGTAGGCAAAGATGGGTGTAGGTATTTGGTTGTTACTGTCATATGGGAAACTGTTGGGAGTTTGAGATATACCTACAAGTTCAGTAACTTGATGTCACAGAGGGAGTGATAACTTGGAACAGGGTAACTGAAGAATAGAGCTGGATATAGGTTTAAATTACCTTGAGCTATCTCTAAGCAGATTTTTTTTTTTTTTGGTCAAAAAATTGCAATTTTTACACTCCTTGGACTTATTTTAAGTAATTCCTTCGTGGTGATTTCTTATACACAAGATGAACCCAAGCAATTTCCAAGTCCAGCATTTTTATGTTTCCCGTTTAGAATCTACTCAGGATGTCTATCTGAATGGCCACCATGTCAGTATTATCTGATTAAAAGTGTCTTTCTGGCTGTCTTAATAGAGACTTTTTTTCTTTTTTACTTCTAAGAAGCCCTTTTGAATCTGCTAAATCTGCTAAGTATCACAGCCTGTTGGACCGAATCTAGGTTTAAAAACAGGAAGAAAGTATTTGGGGTCCTTGTCTTGTGTTGTGGAGGATAATCATCTTCACTCACTAACTCACTCATTAACTAACTTTTTAGTCTCCACAGGACTGGAGAAAAGGATTTGAAAGCAATCATATCATTGGGAAGATATTTTAAAATCAGTTTTGTTTTCCAAAGTTTTTGCTTATCAGAATGGTTTGGCATGTTCCTTGGATATTTGTGTAATGGTTTTGTCTGATACAAATCTGCAACACTTTGTAGCGTACCATATGCTCAGCTCTAACCCTGGGAAAGTAGTTAAAGTGGCAGTACTGCTTAAGTGTGTATCTGTCATTAATATCATAGGCCCTATGTCAAAACACGAAATCACTAGTTGGAGATCAAGACATCCTGGGCTGCTGCACACATCCGCTCAAGTTCACCCCTCTGCAGCAGGAAGGCAGGTTTTAGCAGCATTAAAATGAGTCACCAGTTTAAAGTGAGCTCTTCACTGAAAATGTGTCTCCGAGTTTCCAGTTTACCTGCTCTGTTTCAAACTAAGCCTTATTCACAGACATCTTACTAATGAAGATAAAGATATATGATTACTGGCTGGCCTTCAGCATGCAACAGTAATTAGAGTTTCTGTTCTCTGGGCATTAGAGTAGTGAAAAGAAAATGGAAGAAAAAGTCTGCTTAAAATGCCCATTGAAATATAAAGATTAAGATTACATTTCTTTGTGACTTTACTGTTGCTGTTTTTCAATGCATCTGTCATGTAGCATCTAACAGATTGATTATGTCTTCATGGCTTAGCTTTTATTCCTATTTTTTTCGTGTTGATTAATGATGAGTTTAAGCTCATTTTCCTTGCAGAATGAGGATACCTCATTTTTCTTTTAGTTTCAGGGGCCACATTTATTACTCACTTCTTTCATCTGAGACTTCAAATAACTTTAAAGAGCTGGGCCAATTCTGAACTGACTTGTTTTCTCCAAACTACATCTACTTGAACTTGGTTGAATAAGTCAGGACAGAATTTGGTCAATTGAAACAATATTTTTGTTGACAAATGATTATCTGAAATTATTTGGTCCACCATGACAGAGTAACCATGCCAAAAAATGGTGGCATGTTATAGGTTTTGTTTCACAGATGAGGAATCTGAGACACAGAATAGTTAAGTGAAGAATTTCAAAGTGTTATAAAGAAGTTCTGACCATTGAAGTAGATGGTAAAATTCTTACTGACCTCACAGAAAAGAGAGATTGGTGAACAGACTTTTTTTGCTGAATTGTTAATATGAATCAAATTCTCAAGATTATTCAAATAAAGAATGAGGTGAGAAGAAAAATCAACATCTTTTAATCTTTGATTTTGAGGACGTTTCCGTTTCAAAATGGCCATTTTTTCAAGGCTGAACAAAGTCTGAAAGTCTGCAAAACAACGCTTTCCAGTGCTCTGGGTTTTCAATTTGATGAGTTAATTGAAAATCTGCATGCTGGTTGCCCTGAAATGAAAACACCTTTAGGTTCATTTTGTTTGATCAGTTAACTAAAACTTCCAATATATCCTCAGCTCTGTCCAGAAGCCTCTTGCCAGAAGACACACAGTGAATGATGCCAGCACTGGGAACAGGACACAGTTTCTCTGGCTCCTTTTGATATTACACTGTGTATTTTGTAGAGGACTCCATCCAAAATCTGTGTGTTATCCAAAATTGCATGCTTTTCTAACAAAATACCTTTAGTTTATTTACTTCTGGAGCATCTTGTACTTTTCTTAGATCTCAGAGAAGAATGCAAAAAGGGGGCAGGCATAGTAACTTTTGTCTATATTGCAAGTAAACTCCTGGGGCAGAAGGAGTGAAAGGAGGGTTGTTACTTCTGGTATCCTTTGCTCAACCTAGGACAGAGCTGGGGGGGCTGCGTCCCCACGTGCAGGGGCCCTGCAGGATTTTACAGCGTGGCCTCTCTCTCTGAATTCCCATTTCTGAAAGCTCTACAGCCAGTTCCGTCTGTGGGACGATTGCCTGGAATTTGTGCTTGTCCTCTGCAAAGCCTCGTCTTTCTGGCTTTCTGTGAGGAGGGAAGCAGTGATGCTTTATCCCTGGTCACTGTTTATCAGGTGGCTGAAGAGTTGCAAAGCAAGGCTGCTCCAGCCACAGCGACTTGAGAGGAAGCTGTTGCTGATCAAGCGAAGGGTTGGTAGCTGCTTTGTTCTGTTCACTTTGGACTGTATTAGAGAGGGTAACAACACCTGTGGCAATTTGTAAAATATTACTGCAGACTAATAAATCTTTCAATCACACTTAGCGTGGTTTTATCAGTGTCAAAATAACTCTTTTTTAGTCAAGTGAGAGACTTTACAAAAACTGAAGTGTCAAAGCATTTAAAATAGCTTGAAGTAGACAGTGTTTTAAAACATTAAAATTTTAACAACTGTTTCTTTTCTTCCTTGCACTGGTGCACTTCAGGGAAAAGTTGAGTTCTTCTAAAGTCAGTGGAGTGACAGAGTAAAAAGTCAAAGGGAGAAAATAATTGAGTCCAGGATTTTATCTGCTCCTTAGTTTGGCATTGGCAGTTCTAGTGCTGCAGATTTCACAACGATATTGCTAGTGGCAGTCCAGTTGGTATTTTTTACAACACATTCTTGGATGCATGTGATTACACACGTTTTCAGTTCCAGCTTTCAACTGGAAAAGGAAATCCTCATGGTTACAGGTTTAAGGCATGGGCCCTCAAAATGGACATACTGCAAAGAGACACAAAAATTTAAGAACAAGAGTATGAAGAATCCCAGTTTTCCTGTGATGTCTCAAACTAAAGCCAAGCTAAGAGTGATTTGAGATGCACGTTATGGCTTGATTGAGTCTGACAGCTCACCTAGTCAAAAGGAGGAAGATGAATATTCGCCCTTTCCTGGTGCTTGCTCCAGTGGATTAGTGGAGGGAGAAGGACAGAAGGAGGAGAAAGCGTCCTGCAGTGGGGGCAAGGCAAAGTGGGAGAGGGGGAAGAGTAAGGAAGAGCAAGTCCCTGTTTCAGAAGTAGTGATCTATTAAACTAGCTATTCAGAATGTGCAGTGTCACATTCTGGTGAGGTTGTTGCATAGGTTTTGGTTGCTCGAGGTTCAGAGGACCCAAATAGAAGGAAAAAGCAGATGTAATCAGCATAGTTTCTTGAATGATATCAAAGAAAATGCTTTCCCATCAGCAAATGAGATTTTGTCTAAATTGAACACTTGCATATG